GCAAGAAGCTCTAATTATGATAAATATTGCAAGATGTACAAAATAATCACAGAAAGCCCTTGCCTTGGAGTTCACGAAACAGCATGTAGCGAGCAGAACTGAATATACCCAAAGCAATTCTCTTCAAGCCATCATAATCTTAAGAATTGCTTTCAAGACTTCTTTCGTGGCTACACTAGCAGACAGCACCTGGGTGCAGAAACAGCAGCAAGCTCAAAGACCAAGCCAACGTGAATTCTCAGAGGCTTCTGATAATAAACAACCGGGACCAGGGCCAGGCCAAGAGCAAGTGTGAGTTTCCTACTTTTCCCCAGGAACATGCACATGACCAGCCTCCACCCTCCGAGCAGGGTTTCAGCGGGCTGTCACACACACACACACACACCACACACTGGGCTGTAACCTGCCTCTCCAGCCCTCTCCCTTCCTCCCCCCCCCCCCCCCCCCACCGCTTTCAAACCAGACGCACAGCACTAACCAGCCACAGGGAACACGACAAGGGGTAGCGGTAGGGTGTGGTTTGGCTATTAGGGCTTTTTTTGAAGAGTAAAACCCAGCCTCTCTCAGCCATTAGAAACACCCATTTCATTAGGAAGGAATTACCCGCTGTGTTTTTCCAGTACAACATGTGAACTCAGGACTACGAACCTGCTCCTGATATTTACTTTGCACCGAGCCAAAGCACTCCGTCCGCCCGTCACGCCCCGGGGAAAGCTGCCCCGGAGACTGCACCAGCGGCTCGGGCAGCCGCTGAAGTACAGCGGGTCGCCTTGGACGAGGCACCTTCTGCACAAAGCCGAGTGTTTCAAGAAACAAGCAAGCAGCAACAACAATAAAAGCCCACAATCAGTCTTCTCAGCCCTTCTCTTCCACCAGCCGCCTTTCGGTTCTGTGTAACTCACAGGCAAACACACAAAAAAAAACAAACCCCACGGAGATAACCTGGGATTAGGGGTAGCTTCTGTATTACCGCCCTTGACCGCCTCCTTTCACCACCTCTAGCTCCCAGAGGGTTTCCTGCCCCGGAGCCGTCTGTCCCGCAGGGTCGGGCCGGCATGTGCCTGCGAGAGGGAGGAGGGGACGGCGCCGGCCCTGCGCTCCCTTTCTTTCCCCGGCTGCTGCAACCTGCCTTCCCCCGAGCTGCTCCGGACATGGCAAGGGGCCCGACACTCGCTCCCCAGCCCTCCCTGCCGAGGAGCGGCGCCTCCTCCCCGGCCAGAGCGGGCCGAGCGTTACCGGGGAGCGGGAGGAGGCCTATGCCCGAAACCCCCGGCCAAGCGGGGGGCCAGGCTGGCCGCGGGGCGGAGGCGGGCGCGGCCTGGCCCGGGCGCGGTGCCTCACCTCCCCGGCGGCCCGCGGGCGGCGGGGGGGCGGGCGGCGGGGGGAAGAGAGCGGCGGAGTCGCTCACCTCGGTGGGGTCGCTGATTTCGAACAGGTCCAGCCGGTTCGCGTTCCAGTGGTTGATGATATCGGCGAGTTTGCGCCGCTCCTCCTCCCGACTGCCGCCGCCGCCCGACATCCTCGCCGAGCCCGCCGCCGGGGAGCCGAGCCGAGCCGAGGCCGGGCCCTCTCCGCCGAGCCCCGGCGAGGGGCGGAGACGGGGACGGAGCAGGGGGTCCCCCAGTCGCGGCTGGGGAGGGGAGGGGCCGGCTCCCCCCGCTGCCGCTGCCGGCACTGCCGCCGCGGAAACGCTCCGGGATCGCGCCGCCGATAGCGATCGGCCCCGAAGGACGGCGAGGAAGGAGAGAAAAAAGAAAGGGGGAGGGGCGGAGAGGAGGAAAAAGGATGCCCCGAGCCGGCGCGGCGGCCGCTCTGTCTCCCGGCTCTGCAGCGTCTGTCGCCGTTCTGCCTGCCCTGAGCCGAGCGGACTCGCCGCGGCCGCCTATTCTCCGCCCCGGTATCGCCCTCCCCTCGCTCGCTCCCTCACACACCGTCCCATGCGCGCCCCCGCCCGGCCGCCGGACAGCCCGCCCTCCTCCCCCTCTTCCTCCTCCTCCCGGGGCGCGCGCGCGCGCGCGCTCCCGCAGCCGTCACCTCCCGGCGACGGCCGCGCGCCTCAGGAGGGCGCCCCCTCCCCTCCCTTCCTCTTCCTTTGCTTCCCGCCGCTCCACCGGGACGGGAAGGGGGGCTGGGGCGCGGCGGGGCCAGGTGTGACGGGTGCCTCCGCGCGGTGAAGGGGCGCGGGCAGGCGGAATGGAGCGTGGGGGCATTGCTGGCAGCAGGCCTCGCGCCGGGCGCTCACACCAACAAAGGGGCTTGGGCGGCTGCGGCAACAAAGACCCCGCGGGTGGAGGCCCTGCTGCCCACCCCCCCAGTGCCCTCCGTGTCCGCGGGTAGGGCACACGGCCTGGGTGGTGGGGGGGACACCGGGGCAAGGCCGGAGCGGTGCTGCCCGTTCACAGTGCGGCCGCCGGCTCGTCCCCTGGCCTTGCTGTGTCTCGGCGGCACCCCGCGCTCTCCCTGGGTGCTGCTGCTGTGGTTAATGATGTTTAAGGAGTGTCTTTGGGTCGCTGCGTGAAAGGAATTGCCTGAAAATGCTGTATTGTCAGAAATCGCTACAGCTTGAGGTGAACTTGAGGTGAAGTTAAAGCATCAGATGCGTTTTGATGGTTTTTAGATACGTAATTTAGGTGTGGTTTCTAACGAAACGTGTCAGTTGGCTGTAAGAGGCATTGCCCATTGTATAGACTCGAATCCAAGGAGGGGATTTGCTTTGTTTTTTAACCCGCTGGAGGAAGTAACGCATCCTCGGTCGCATTTGTTTGGCATTGGGCAGACTCTGGAACTTCATCCTAGAACAGTCATATTTGAGCTGGGTTGCCCAAGTGCCCATTTTTCTGTGGTTTCTTCAGGTGGTTAAAAAGGGGGAAATACCGTTTCTTTTTAGTGAGCCTAGCAGAGTATTTACGGTTCCTCTTCACTGAGGGAGTTCAGACAAGTGGGCTTTACTGGTGAAGTTTTGATTGGCTGGGTTATTTGAAGAAGGGGATCCCTCAGAGACCTTGTCTACATTAAGCAATTAAATTATTGTTTTTATCCAGCAGTATAGCTCCTGTGTAAGTACCAGCAGTTCTGGTTTTACAGGTGAAGGTCAGTTATGCTTTTGCCCTACATCTGTAACTGTGCCATACCAGAGCTTTGCAGTTCCAAGGACGGAAGAGATCCTATTTCTCAGGTCCTAAACCCTGGGAGGTGTTGAAAGCCCTTCCGAGAGTCCTCGGAGAGCTTGGGGGGGGGGGGGGGAAGGGGGAGAGTTTGTTGTAATATCATCGTAAAACTGTATTGTATTCTTTTTAGAAGTAATTTGGATAGAAGAAGAAAAAAGAGAACAAACTCTTCTTACATAAAAGAAAAAAAAATTTATGCTGGTTTTTTTTGGTTTTTTTAACCCCACATCTAGAAAGAGTATGTTACCAGGTAACGTTGGATGTTCTGGCAGTCCTGCAAAGACCAAGAAACCATGTAAAATCTGTGATATGGTAGTCTGCAACTCAGGTGAATAGTTGCTTGCTCTGTCACAGGTGACGTCTGCAGAGTACTCTGCTGATTTGGATGCTTGGCTCTGTCTGGATATTGGTGAAATGGGATTGTTCAAGACACAGGATGAGGAACAGTGGCTGTATTACTTCATGATTTGGAAGGGGACTTCAGGGTCTGCATAGATCACCATTTCACTATTACAAGCTACATAGATAAAATTGCTTTTCCTGGGCGAAAAGGGGCAGTTGCTCTGGGAAAACTGGTTGCTGCAAGTAGTTGATTTAGCATTGCAGGCGTGCCTGGGTTTTCAAATGCCGAGGAGCACCAGGAATAAAATTATCACTATGCTGGGCTGATGTGGTGTATATAATCCACTGTGAATGTATTTATTTCTATTTTAACCGTGGCTAGTCAGCATTTCTAAACTGTAGCTAGCCTCCAGCCTGGATACAAACAAATCCTTCAAACTGAGCAGAATTGGAGCGAGCTAACAGTGCTTAGATGTCATTTCTCAGCAATCCCAAGTCACTGCAATGTATTTCTGTATTGGCAGGAGCAATGGAAATGCTACTGATGGTCAGATAGCAACAGCAACTGTGCTGATTAGCTCTGCACTGAACCGGGCAGTGCTGAATCAGTACGAAAAGAAACCAGGCTTGCTTGTACCTGCAGAAGAAGTTGTTGCCATAAACAGTCAAATGGCAGAAGCTTTAGTACAGCATCAGGATTTAAGAAAAATCCTACTGTAGACAAGAATGTAGCTGGCTGAGTGAACCAGCAGGACAGTATGCGTATGGAGATTGTACTGCAGGAGATAAAGCGTAAGCCCTGGTCTCCTTGGAAAAGCTAGTGTACAGGAAGCCAAAGCATGAAATTATAGTATACCAGCCAGTTTATAGTGGAAAATGTGTGCTGCTTCACTTTCAATCCTTTTTTTTTTTTTTTTCCACAGGGCTGTTGCAATGAGAAGTAAAACAGCTGCTGTAAAGCCTAGGAAGTGACATGATTCCTGTGAACAGTTGTAAAAAAAAATTCAGAGATATTTATGAATGGAAAGCATTATATACATAAAATACATTATAAACAGGATTGTGTGTTTGAGCTATCATCAAGGCATCTTCCATTTAAGGTATTGCATAAAGTTACATGAAACCATTAAATTAAATTTTCCTCTGTCTTCTTTCTGAGATTTTTATCATTTACATAATGAGAAGACAAAATCCTATTTGAAGAGTTTCAAGTTCAGCCCAGCATTCCTGTAGCCCACTGAAGTCAGTGGCAGAGTTAGATTTAACTCCATACACGTACTTGATAAGAAATAATAGGGTGAGAAAAATGAGAAAACAGGGAACAAAAAGTGTTCTACTTGCAGTAAGAAATGTTTGGGTTTATTGGGTTTTTTTTTTTACTTTTTTCCTTCCTGAACAATGTTCTTTTCTTTTTTAAGGTGCTTAAGATAACTAAGCTACTGTAAGCCATTATTGTGATTGTTTGTTCAGCACTCAAAACGTAATGTACATTTTACAGAACAAATAAGATAAATGCCCTTCCCCGTAGAGATTGCAAGCTAAATTTTTTCACATGTGAGAGCAGCAACTGGAAGAGACATCCATGGAGAAGAAATAGATACACGAGGAGACCTTTGCAATCTTCTCCATTCCTTGAGACATCGAGAAATGCGGTGCCCATGTGGTTACGTGCCACAAGGCGGTTGTGTCTCTGCAGCTTCTCTCATTAATCATGTTGGTATACATCTACCCCTGGGGGGTCTGATGGTGTAAGCAGCAACAACATCCCTTTATTTCTGCTCCTTGGCTAGCGCAGTTCATGCAAACAGTTCTCTTGTGTAGGGAAGGTTTGCATGAAGGCAGGGTTGTGCTCTGCTGGTCTCTTGGCTGCTCGCCAGCTGCCCATATGGTTGCCAGAATGCAGCATTAATTTTCTGAGGCAGCATATATCTGATGTATAGTGCCATGCTGTATAAATCAGTGCACTATTGGAAGCTATAAATTCATAGATAAGACTGAAATTGTTCAAGTAACCCTCTTCATGGCTTCCCAAGTGTGCATGCGTTTCTAGAGCAGGAGAGACGGAGCTGTAATTTTGTATAACGCAATGCAAAAGCTGATGTCAGAGTAGCATTAACATTGCAAACCTGGGTCATCAAACTCCAGTCCTTACATAGACGACACACCCACTGAGGTAGATAAATCAGCCAGAGTAAGAACTGCAGCTTTGGACACTATAAACACGAGTCCGAGAGGGGAAAAGAAGTTTTGCATTGCACTGTTATCTCGGCTGTGTGAACTGTATGCACTGTGTACATCAAAGTATCGATTTCATAGCCTAATTGGTAAACAAACAGTACATACAGACTCTGTGGGCAAGTTCATGCTGCATGAAAGATCTTTATGTTTAGATCCCTGTTTCTTGCTGTATGAATGTAGGAGTTTAATAACCTTGACCTCTTTAAAATGCAAGTAAATGGAGGGGAGGGAGGGAAGTAGGGGGGAAAACAGGGCAGGTGTGGCAATTTACGTAATTGGGTTTTGGAAATCTTAGGTTTTCAGTTCAATTATCCTTGCTCTATTTTTAGGGAGAGGGAAGCATAAAACTGTATAAATGGCAGCTATCTTAATAAATGTATCTTAATTTCGATTTATATATGGTTAAATTATGAAAGCTGTAAAGAAAATTCCCTCAAAGAAGATGTTTATTTTTTGCATTATGTATGGAAGATATTTCAGAGCAATTTACTGATAAAAGCTTCTTGGGTCAAGACCCCTTGGGGGTAAACAGTGTAAGGGGCTTTCTCTAGCCCTACAGCCAACTGACCTAGCCTGGGCACCTCCATGGTTTTAAATTGTTTTAGCTCTAAAACAGGGTGGCCACATGCAGATTGCCTGCTGGAGTGGATCCTAACACGTACTGACTCCTAGTCTGTAGCACTCTGTGAGCTATCAGGTCCATAGCCAGACCATGCTAACAATTTAACTTGCATATGCTCAGGCACAAAGGAGTGGATCTGGATGCTGAAATGTCCAGTGGGTCACTTAGTGGAGAAAGAGCCTTGGAGCTCTTCTTCCACAGCTGTCTTCAAGGCAGGGTGCTCTTCCTGGGCAGGGTGCTTGGGCATACCTGTGTTTGTAGGTTCAGAGCACACACAGCCTCTGTCCTGTAGTGAAGCGTGCTCTTTGATCCATATTCAATGTGGATGAGAATTTAATGACAGTTGCAGTATGTGAGTGTTTGTGTTGGCTTCAGCAACATGTATGTTTGTCTTCAGGTGAACAGCTCCTGGAAACCAGAAGCACATGGGACAAGGGCCAGGTCCCAGTTAGAGGTTAGCAGTCAATGTTAGCCTAATATTAGAATCTTGCTGGATTCATCCTAAGATGAATACGGAGTGCTTTCCTGGAAAATGCTTTTTATCCAGGGAGTGCTGTTCTCAATGTAGAGGTATTGAGGAGAAATTTAACGGCTGGTATACACATTATCAGATGATCTCTCCTGGCCTTATCCCATATAATTTAAAATGCAGTCAGTTAAAGTTCAGAGCTGCTGCAGGTGCTACAAAAGCTTTCTGATAGTTTTGACTTTTAATCACAGATCTCTCAAGTATTTTCTACCAGACTGCTGTGTTGTGAAAGAGGGTAAGAAATTGGCCAACCACAAGAAGGCAAAGGGATGAAGGTAGTCTGTATCTAAAATTGTCATATGGACAATGTAAATAATCTCATATCCCCTGTGTCCAGAAATTTCGCTAATTTCTCTATGGTATACAGCATTATTTGTAAAAATGGTGAAGATGCTTAGGTAGAAGTTATACATTTCTTTTAAGTTGAGGGTAGCTCTCCAATCAGCAGTCCTAACTAGGCTATTAGTTACAACAATGTGTAATCGTTTCAAGGCTCTTTGAGCAAGATGTAGTGGGTGTTTGATCTTGTAATTAACCTGCTGCCATTGGCCATGCATTCTCTCCACCCTGTAATTACTTGTCTAAAAAATAACACCATTCAAACCATACATTGTACAGAAAATTAAAAGAGCATTAATTTTAATCTGTTTTCACACTCACATGATGGCTATAACTCGTGCGTACATTTCACTTGTGAGCAGAAGTCATTTGGCAACATCTGAGCAGTTTTTGTAAGAAAAATTTGATGTGGGAGCAAACCGAGTTGTAATGCAATTAGCTTTTTTGTTTAATTTCATTTATTTAGAACCAATCTGAAAGTACTGAAAGGATTTTCACTTAAAAATATCTTACTGCTGAGCTAAGAATGTAATGGATATTTAATTATTTGATCTTTTGAGTCATATAACAAGCATAAGGCCTGTATGTGGAGATATAAATACTTCAGGAAGCTTATAAGTTAAAACATTGGTGTAAACCTGTGAAATGAAAATGCCTGCTCAGCAAAATAAGGCCAATTCTTCCCTTGGCAAGTTTTCCTTAGAAATGCTTCTGCATTCTTGAGATCTTTTTCTAGAACAAGTATGGAGTAGAAGCGAGGTTTGTACACATGAAAAGCACCGGAAAGCAACAGGGAAGTCCTCTGTGGAAACCTGCAGTTGGATTTATTTTATCTAACCTGAAATTGTCTAAAAGTTTGACCAAGAAGGGTGAGTATAGCCTCTCTCTATAGGTAGTGGAGGGAAGCAGCCATTTCCAGCAAGTGACTGACATCTATCTTGTGACAGGATTAAACCCTAACTTTTAGATGGCCATGAAGAAGTGAGTTGACTCCTTCCTTGAGAGTAATGCTGCTATCTTTCAGCTTCTTCAAAGCCTCAGTCTTTTGATTATGGCATAGGCTTCCCTTCCAAGCCCACTCTCACTTTAGCAAATGACACTGGTTTTGTATCAGCCATGACACAGCTGTATTGGTCATTTCATTTATACAAAGACAATGAATCCCTCCACCTGTGTTAAACCAACTGCATCAGACTCAGTGAAGAACTTGTTTTTCACCTCATGGATATTGCAGCTCAGTCCTGCACAACTGAAGGGAATAGTTACAGGGAAGCATGTTAGGAAATATATTTACGTTGCAGAACATGACATAGAGATACAGTGTCCTTTTCAGCTAGCTTAACTTGTCCATGTGAAAGTCTTTCCTGCCTCACCCCCTAGACAGCTAGCTGGGATGTCTGTGCTCAACGCTGCATCTGTGCCAGCGTAGGAATATTCAATAATTGCACTTTGAAATAACTGAGCCCTGACTCTTCTGTGTGAGACCAACCTTTAATACTGGATTGCACGCTTTTCTTGTCAAACACCCTCACCTTTCATCCCATGCCACTCCTTGACTGTGGGAAGAAACCCAGCCAAAATCACAAAGGTACTTCCTTCAGATCTTTCTAAATTCACTAGTCACGACGCTTGTAAAATACCAGCCTATGGATAAGGTTCTTGGTGTGCTGTGACCTCTGCTTGTGTTGCTAAACACAAGCCTCACATTTTTACCATGTTTTCCACATCTTTCATGTTCCTGTCTGGTCATTATGTGCCTTTCCTCCTTACTGTGTTTTAATAGTAAGGGTTTGATAAGCTGGGATTTGCATGTTGAGTCAGGGACTGTCTTCATGTGCACATGTGCAGCAGTTAGCACAGCTCAGAAGGGTAGGACAGGATGCGTCACTGTGTAATATGTATTAAAGCTGGCTGGAAAGCAAGTGTGACTGCCAGACCCTGGTGCCATAATCATCAGCATTTCGTATCCTTGGCTCTTTCCCCCTTGAGTGCAATTTTGTACAACAGGGAATGGAAAAAACAGACCATCTCCTGGTAGTCCAGGCAGGCTGAAACACTGTCAGCTAGAGTTTGTTGTTAATGACCCTGTCATGCACAACATATAGCCTCACAGGTAATTTAAGAAATGTGTAAGAGCATCCTTAATGTTACCCAGCAAGGCACTGCAGGATCTATTTAAGCAAATCTTAAAGACAGAATACTCTACCTTGTAAGCACCTTCAGTGTCAGCACCTCCGAGACAAACTTTCCTGTATGCAGTTTTTCTAAGTGCAAAGTTTTCCTTACATTGTTTTCACATTGTACGTGTATTTAGATGTTACCAAACAAAAAAAAAAAACAAAAACAAACCCACAAACAAACATAAACAGTTTGAGAGTAGATCTGACATAAACAAAGTACGGTTTCCAAGGCATATATTCCAAGGAAGGTTATCCAGATCTGTCACTGCAGGCCAATCAAATGAGAACCCAAGAACTGAGAGATTGTTGTAGACAAAGATTACGGAGTACAGCTCACTAGATGAAGGATCTCCTGAATCATACTACTTACACATTTCAAAACAGAAAGATCACCGCTTTCATTCTGACTAAAGTTAGAAACACATGCACAGAAATAGGCACCTAGATTAATGACCTGGTTTTGAAATGCTATGAATTCCCAGCCATCAAAGGCACCTTTGAATCTGCATTTACAAATTTAGACCACAAGGCATGAAAAATGTGCCTTTTGCCTCCCAGTAGCACCTATCCAAATATGCACATTCCACAGGGAGGCTCCACAAAAAACTTCACCCAACATGGTTATGGCATGTATGGATGTAAACTGCTTAAAGTAACAAATCACAGGAGTCTGGAGGCTTGCAGCTGGGGCAGGTTTTCCCTGCCAGGGGCTCTGCTGGATCAGCCCTGTCCCTGGAGCACAGTGGAGATGTTGCACGCTCTATGATGTATTTGCACGGGGCTGCACTAGCAGCCTTGGGTATCGGTAGCAAGGGTGTTACAGCAGTAGGGAGCTCAGCCAACCTACCCTAGTGTGCTGCTGAGTCAAGGAGTCAGTCTGGTGGGACTCTCTGCTGTCAGGGTTATCCTGCTAGCAACATCATAAAGCTAGGGCAGGGCAGCCATCCCAAGACACCAGCTTTTCATCTTGAGGAGGGTGTTTTGAAATCCCCAGCCTACGCTGGATTTTCCTGTGGTTATTGACCTTAATCTGACCATCAGAATTACTATCATGTGAGAAGGCAGCATGGTGAGATTTTGGCCTCTTCCCACTGTAACTTTTGATTGACAGTGGGCTAAGAAAACATCATCTACTAAGGAGATGTGATATAAAATGCCTTGCTTCAGGTATGAGCTGTGACACAAGTGCTCCAGTGCAGAGGGAGCAATGGAAAGACTCATCTATATTCCAATAGATTATAAAGCAGAATGAGCAGCAGATCTGTTCTGGCTTGTTTAATACAAACTGTAAAATTCAATTTCTCTGGTCTTTGGATTAATTCAGCAGCTTACATTTGGTGAAGTCCTATGTTTCCTGAAGACTTAGACTGAAGATAGCAAGAGACAGTGGATAAAGCACTTCACAGGGTTTGTTCCAGCTGTTAATCAGCCTCACCGCTAAAAGGTATATCATACTGAGCGTGTCCAAATTCAACTTTCAGGCACTAGCTCATGTCATACTTCTGTGTTTCGTTCAGTATCCCTTTGGTACTTCCTATTTTCTTCCATTTAAGGCACTCTTTTCTTACCTGCTGGTTTATAGAGATACCACTTCATCTTTCTTTTTGTTTTTTAACTGGCTGAACAGATGACCCTCTCTCTCACTGTAACACACTTTTTCTAGCTTGAAAGTAAGCGCTAAGGCTGTTCACTGCACTTGCAAGTGTATCTTGACTTTTCTGAAAGGGGATACTAGCATCCAGCCAAACAACAATTCGTCTTTCTGGCTGTAGGAGTTAGAGCACTCACTGAGTCCTTCGGAGCCTCCTGGCATGAAGGTTAGCTCTGCATAAATCAGGCCGTATTTCTTGTATCAAGTTCCTCCTGAACTTCCTGTGTTGTATTGTTTCAGTTGAAAGTACAAAGCATTACCAGATTAATAAAAAAAAGTACATATAACAACAACATTCCTTCATGTGCACAAGAGCGTTCTTTCCAGCCATACATCTTTTAACAAATGTAGAGTATTTTAAGGAGGATCTATTTAAATTCTGTCTGCAGTGATACAACTAATTTTGTTCCTTAGAACCAGGCTTTTTGATGTGTGGAAGTGCAAAGGAGCTTCACAAATCTGTCTAAATGGGAGTAAATACATAGAGTCAATACTTCTTTCTTTTTCTTTGTGTTATGCTTCTAGGCCAAGAAGTGATGTGTTTCATCAGGATGCTCTAAAGCTCACCCCTAATGGTCTGATGGCTTGCTTATAGAGAAAATGCTAAGACATCCTTAATGAAAGCAGTGCTGGTTGTTTTCAGTAAATTACAGGTAGCTCACAATGGCTCTGAAGACTGTGTATGTATATGATAACTCTTCTTTTGTTAAAGATTATAGAGTGCTCTATTACTTATTGAAACACTGTAGGAGCATTACTGCAGGTCGGGGGGGGTTATCATTAGGGTTAGGTAAAAATCCCTGCTATCGGTAGCTTTGCTCAATGGCCAGTGTTGGGGGTTCCATCTCAGAGCAAGCTGCAGCACATACACTTCAAGAGGAGAGAAAATGTGCAGGGATATGAAATGTGCTTTCAGAAATATTTACAAGATCTTCCAAAGTCCTAGTTACTTGCGTTTGTCACTGGAAAGCAGATAGACCAGTGTCACAGCCCTCAGCCTTTCAGTGAGGGTAAGGAATTGAATTGTTTAAAGAAATATCATAATTTAATACTGTCATATACAGGTAAAGTCTTGAGCTCAAAGGGCTCCATTAGACTGAGCAGAGAGAAAGAAAAAAGTATTCAGTAGTTATTATTCCTTTTAAATATCATTATTTTCCTGAAGGAATATCTTAAAGAGACTGCAATGGCCCAGCCTTGTTGTGATATCTGTGCAGCAGCCTGCTGGATTAAGTGTGCTGGAGAATTAAAAGGGTTATTCCGTGTTTCGCACCAGTGCTGGAAAAATAGAATTACACAAGACCCAAACTAAATTAAGCAGTTAAGAATTCAGCCTAACACATTAAAATTACCTTCTCGCTACAGATTTAATGTTTTTCAAGCAAAGCAAATCCATTTGGTAATGATGTAATGGATGTAAATGGATTTGCTATTGGCTGTAGCAAAACCAAAACTGAGACTCATTTGTGGTTC